CGGTGTAAGTCCGCAGACATACCGCTGTAGCACACTAGGCTCTATACTTAGTGTTTCATCTTTGATAAGATTTTTTTTATATATATCTTACCTTCTCTCTCCCACGGGTACTTTTTAGGCCTCCAGGTGCAGTGAGTATTAGATCAGTCCATCTAGGCTTAATTTTGTAGAAATAAAGTAGATATGCCGATAAATCTTATATATCGGTGAACTTTAGAATTATATCTAGGATATTGTCTGACTGGAAGATTTTGTTTGTTGTTGTTGTTTTCTTGACTGTTCAAAAATTTTCCACGTAGTTTTGATGTAGTTGTTAAGAAGTTATTTACATTATATAACGACTCCTTCATACTTAAATATTTTAGGCTTCACCTACAAGGAATTTTTGTTTCTACTGTGTTTTGATGGAAGGACAGTTTCTGTCATAATTTTTCGTTAGTAGCGGCTAGGCGACTAAACTGCACAATGGGTTCTTGTGCTCTGCCCACCGCGAATATTGAAACCCAAATTTTAGCGTTGTAGGTCGTGAAACCGTTTAGCAATCTGAGTGGGGTCTAGGTGACTAAAATTGACTGATAAGTTTGTCTTGCAACAGAATTAAACGTTTCAGAAGATGAGTGGATAACAGATAAAAGTAGCAGGTGCTTCGGCTACTAAGATAAGATTGTAAGATTAACATCCAAGTAGGCCATCGATATTGCCTCGCCTGGTGACTTTACATTATTTCAGTTTATGGCCTTGATAAATCCGCAACACGTATTTCATTATTACGTTAACACTGGCTAGCTTACACATTTGTTGTTTTTAGCACATTGTAGCTCGATGGAAGTTCACGTTAGAGAACCGAAAGCTCGTAACTAAAGGAAAAATGTTTAACTTAGACAACAGTTCGTGTATATTTGTTCACATACTTATCCGTTCATTGTTACATAATTTCAACAGTATAGCTTTACGGTATCTTGATGAATTAATTGTAACAGCTTTGATATTGTAGGATTAGCTTTATTTTCAGCTAAAAAGTATATGTCTAAAAATAATCAGTTAAATTTATTTTTTAACATTGATGTCATACAATATATATACGTCTTCTGTGGGAATTATAGATTTCATTAAATGGAAAGCGCCATCTTCTGACCATTTGCTACACCACACTTTGCTGTCACAGAAAAGTGGAAATATTTAACCTTTTTGTTTTCCACGCAATTCGCCTTTTTTGTGTCACAGTGTCAGGTCAACATGTCTCTAGATGTATAGCATTATCTTTGAACCATTTCTCATCAGAAAGTAGATAGTTTAACTGATGAATATATTTGAAATATCAGTTATCAAACTGAAACAGAAAGTGAATGACGAAGTCGTCATTCTATTATTTGATAAATTTTATTTCATTTTATAGAGAAGATACGATTGTCAATAAAGACGCACCCTCAGCAAGCATAACTGAAAGCCTAGAGCATCGTCCCGGCACAGATATCGCCGAACCAGCCGCAATGAGGCCTAGCGAGGACTTGTTAACGTGGTGTAAAGAGGTAACGAGAACATACCGAGGAGTTAAAGTTACAAATATGACCACTTCTTGGAGAAATGGCATGGCATTCTGTGCAGTCATACACCATTTTCGTCCTGATTTGATCGATTTTTCTTCTCTTTCGCCACATGACATCAAAGGAAATTGCAAAAAGGTACGTTACTGCAGTGATAGTGGTAAGATGTGGCCGTTTCTACAGCTTACAAATTTGTTATTGTTTAGTGAGTGTGGAAAGTAACGACCTGTTTCACATCTCTAGGATTATAAGGAAATACTACACTGATTATGGAACCAGAGTGGAGTGATGAGAAGTAAAAACATGATAATATAGAATGCAATGCCTGGTGACGAATGCAATTTCAAAACTAACCGTTTTTATTTTTGTTTGTTTGAGGCCTGTTGTAATTGCTGAAACAGTGCCACCTTTCGTTGCCATTACAGTTTTATCGGAAATATTTATCTGAATAATTTAAATTTGAGATTGTAAAATGATGCAATTAACCGAGTGAAGCTTTACAGTAAAAGGGTATTTTGCATTTATTCTAAATGTTTCGAAGCTTTAAATCAGTGAGCATTGTGAATGTTTTCAAAATCCAATTTTACGTCACTGATTACTGTGAACGTTTTCGAAATGAAACTTAAGATTAATAGAAAATGTGTATGTTTTCGAAATGAAACTTGAAACATTACGTCAATGGGTAATACTAATACTCATATTTTTGAGTAAGGCTTATATCCAGGAAAAGAAATGGGATTTAGGAACTAGGTACACGCTTAGAAGAAGCACTGGGGTGATAGGGATTAAAATACAAATAGAAAAGATAGGAGGTTCTTATTTTTTATTCTGACAAATTAAAATCGGTAATTTGAGTTCCTAATTCGTAAGAAAGTAGACTTTGTATCTGGACATCACAAAGATCTGATTTGCACCAATGTTGCACTCAACATACCACGTGACACACAAAAACCGATATTTAGGTGTGTTCTTATGATATTTACTTTTAAATTAAGAAATCAAATAATGTATAATACTAAAATAATAGTTCAATAATATTTTGAATGTAAGTCAACAAATGAGATGACATGGCCTTTGACCAGTGATGATAGGGTTAATAAACATCTTCAATGGCACTAAATTTAACCAATGGGGAAAAAATGCAAACTGAAAACACAGCGTGTACCCCCATTTCCATCACTGATTACATCAATTGAATATTATTCATATCTTGAAAAACAATAACTTTTTTTGTTGAAAGTTAGACTGCAATTTGTGAAAGATTTTAATTGAGAGATATAAGGAACAGATACACATTGGTAAGTTAGATGTGTTATTAAATGTAAGATATCATAAACAGATTTACAATTGTCGAAGTTTTTATACATTATACAAATATATATATGTATAGTTTAATAATAATAATATCTTTCTAATATTGAATACAATACTTGTTACCTTGGAAGATTTATAACTTTTTTTCAATTACATATTTCTTTTCCACTAATATTGGAAATTTTATTTTCTGATTTGTAAAATAATTTCCATAAAAAGTAGTGCATGTGGTTGATTAAAATGTGTTTTTTTATTTATTTCAAGGCATTTGATGCTGCTTTTAGCTTGGGTATTCCTAGGCTTATTGAACCCTCAGATATGGTGATATTAACCGTTCCAGACAAACTTGCAGTAATGACCTATCTTTACCAACTTCGTGCACATTTCACTGGGCTCGAAGTTAAAGTTCAGCATATAGGTCAAACAGCTACTGACTCCACTTATACAGTTCGAGAGCCTGACAGTGATGAGGACAGCTTAACTTCACTCCCATTGGCTGCTTTATCCTTTCCAGACTCTTCTGAGAAAGAGCTGTCTAATCACCACAATGCAACAACAGACCCTAGTGTTGCAACGTCCAAACAGACTTTCACAACACACCACCAAGTTGAGCCCATAAAAGTTAATTCTAGTCAAATTATCCAGAAAATAGAGTCGGAAGTACTTCCACCAGTGTCTGTTGAGTCTCCTTCACAGCTAGACACAAAATCCAAAGATGAGGAAGAAGAGTTTGGCTCAGCCAAGTTTAAGAACAACAATGATATCTTAAATCTTCACAAGAACTTTGATAAAGAAAGTTCTCAGTCCATCACTCAGGAGCAAAGCGTGACTCCTCCTAATGAGAAACCCAAGTTGATGACTCGCAAACAGTTAATGAACCCTTTTGATTCTGATGGAGAGGAGGAGGAGGAACTAGCAGCTCAGAGTCAAGTGTCTGCCCTACCAGTATCTATTGAAGATGCTCATACAGCTGTTGTCACTTCATCAGGTTCCATAGAAATGCAAGCTTTTGACTATGTTTCAGTATCTCAAGAATCTGTCAGAAGACCACAGATGGTAAAAAATTCCACTTTAGAGCCGTCCTGTTATTCTCATATTGAGAAAAGTGCCTCTGAACCACCTGTAGAGAGATCATCATCTCTGGAGGAAGATGTGTCCACAGATGAAGTTCCTGGTTTGTTAGATTTGTCACCAACAAAGTTGAATAGGGCTCAGTCACTTGTAAACGATCAGCCTGTGGTACACGTATGTGTCAACTTTATTATCACTTGCATCATTTCATAAGTTTTAATTTATGTTTTAGTGACAATAGAAGAATTAAATATTGTTAAATTTTTATACTGATTATAGAACAAATCTTGTTTATGGCAACCATGAAACAGTTACTTAATTACAGGCATAATTATTAAATAATTTACTTTGTGATTTATTTACATAGTGGTTACAAAATTGATACTTTTTAATTATTTTTTTCCATGGAGTTTATAAAAACTGTTCAGAGGTATTGGAGGCAAATAAAAAGTGGGGAGGGGCAAGGTTTATTTCACTGAGCGGAGCAAGGGAATGTGAGCCACAGGTGCACCCATTATGGCACTCAAGGCTTGCCTTAGGTCTCTAGAAGCTCTTGGGTTCTGGATTAAATTTTATGGGGTTTCCTGCTTTTTTTAAGAGTAATTTTCCTAATATTGATACATTTTTAGTGGGACAGACTAAAAGGGGCCTCCCCCCCTATGCCATTGCTGTTATTTTTCTTTTACTAGCACCTTCACGGTTATTTCCTATATTTGTCTAGCGTCACCTGTCAAGACAGGAAGAGCTAAAAGAGCGTGCCCGACAGTTGCTTGAGCAAGCAAGACGAGAAGCAGCCACTAAAGCAGCTTTTAAGAAACCATCACATCAGCTCGGTGAAGTAAGGAATTTTAATTTTGCTAGCTCTCCAAGAAATAGTTTTGAGGATCATCACATAAAATTCATATAATGTTAGGATTTAAAAGTTTACACACAAGAAGAAGACGACTGGATGAAAGCATTGGTTACAGTTTACATCTTTAGGCTTATTGACAGAGTTAAAAATCAAAGAAACTTTTATCTAGGTTAGCAATTTTTAAATAATCCATGTTATTTTCAAAAGATTATGCATCAGTAGTCATGTATGTAAACTCATGGTTAAAGCATAAGATAGTTTACTAATAGACTTCCTAGGTGTTTATTATAATAAAGGTGTCATAGGTTTATACTTACTTTAAAAGTTTGATGAGCGTCTCAAAGGTGTATACTTACCTTAAGAATTTGATGAGCACCTCAGAGGTTTATACTTAATTTACAAGTTTGGTGTAAACTAGTTGTTACTTGCTAATTGTCTTCAGTTACACCTAAAACAGCAACAGCTGATGAACATAAAGAAAATATTTATTTTATAGTTTTGTTTATTGACAGAAGTTAAATTGGAATCTATAGTTAGGGACACTTCTATACGATAGTTATTATCTAACATGTAAAATTAAATACCCTACTTTTAGCTATTCCTGCAGGAGGGTTATTGGTCGTAGAATATTTAATTATAATAATGTTTTAGATAACATAACCAATGAGGAATTACATGACATTTTATCCTCTCTCTGAAAATGTAATTCATAACCTCAGATTTATTCTCCTATTAACCACATACTCAATGGTAAGTAATGATGCAACATTTAATAGTAAAAGGTCCTAACTTTTGGGAATTTCTCAATAAAGCATTACACAAATAGTGTCAAAAATAGAACTTAAAAGTAACCTTATTTAAGGAATGATTGAATAAAGTTAGACCTAATCCATAAATGAATAAAATATTTAAAGAAGTTAAAAATATTAACAATATTGAACAAATTTGGAATAAAAAAGAAATTACCGAGTATTTAGATTCCATAAGTAGTAGATACATCATAACGCACACCAACAATGCACATAACAACTTTGTTTTCACTTGTAAAATCATTTTGTATTACAACCTTATGCAATGAATTAAAGTTCAATTAAAAATATTTAAGCCTTCAGGTAACAAGGTATATAACCATGTCAGTATCAAACAGAAGCACTATAAAGTTTTATCAACTTTGGTTTCATATCCATAAAATCAAATGATGTTATACCTAAATTATTTTAGAATCTCAAACTACGTAAAATAACATACAAATACAGGTTTACTGGTGGAAATAGAATACCTACGACTAAAGATTTGTTAATTCTGATTGGTAATGGTCTGAAATACATTAAATTTAAAGAGCATTTAAACAAATGTTTTAATATTACCAAAGAAAGTCTCGGTTTTAATCTGCTCATTGTAAATGGTAGCTCCATTGAGTTTAAAAAAAAATTAAAGGCTTTCAGGCTAAAATAATAGAAGTTTTGACTTTTGTAATTTTTACACTGGTCCTCCTATTGATAAAATTAAAAAATATTTTTCATCTACAGTTACAAATTCGATTAATAAATCTGGTAAATCGGTGCATTGTTTCTATGATAATGTTACTTATAACAATTACAATTGTTTCATAGTAAATGGATTCTTACAAGTTATGTATTTTTCACTTGGCAACACATTTTAACAGTTTGGCCAACATATCTTCCAATACATTCAAGGGATGCATAGGGGATATACACAGGTTAGCCACAAAAATTCAAGGGATACATAGGGGATATACTTTAGCCCCAAAATTCAAGGGATACATGGGGGATATATATTAGCCCCAAGTTTCAGATTTATATCTATTCCAACTTTGATTTGCATACATTAAAAACTTTAGAAAAAATACTATAATGAAACTTTGTACATTAGTTGTAAATACATTGATAACGTCCCTTGTACCTAACTGTCAATTTTTTCTTGACATTGCCAAACTAATATATCCATCAGAACTTACTTAGGTAAAAATCTCTATCACTTATTATAAATAACTTTTCAATAAAGTGGACCTTTATGTTTGAAGCTATAAAATACCAAGTCTCGAAGTTAAATATTTCAAAAAAGCTATGTTATGTTACTAATCACAGCTTATTAGGTAAGTTCAAGTTTGTTCAACATTACCAGGTTTCATTGACAGAGTCAATAAACTCATTCAAATGTTTCTCAAACTAGGATTCTCATCAAGCCTTTTGCAATACAGATTTGTTCAGTTTTCAGGAAATTTAATAATTTTGTTGCTGGTAGTGTTACTGAATGTCACACTCTCTTCTATAGTATCATGTTTACACATTAATTTTTAACTGATTATTTCAATAATAAAGAACCACTATAATATTGTGACCACCATTAGTTTTACCTCACATTACTTTTAAGTTTTTACTATAGTATAACATTACATCATTTGTTTAGTTATATTAGTTTCTGTAATTACCTTATAGTATTCACCATTTTGTTGATTCCTATTCAAAATTTTATCTTATTTTTAACATGAACTTTCTGTAATCTTTGTGTGAATAGTAATAATATTTCTTACATACAGTTATTTAGGACTCTGAACTCGTAAAGTTCAGAGTTTTTTAAAAATGTTAACATGTGTATGGTTCCAGACTTATATAGTTTTAATGATGGCGGGTTGTCGAAAGAAGTTGGCTAATTTCCTTTCACTCTAGTTGCCAGTTGTTCTGGATCATTCCATGTTATTGTTACATGCAAGTTACAAGTAGAAGTGGGCAATAACATTTTCACAACTAGCTGATCCTTTGATACCTGAAGGGTGTAACCTCATTCAGTCATTTTATAATGGAATCACCAACAGTTATGCAAGACACTGTTCTTATAGTGGGCTAACTCTCTCATTCTTAGTGTATTTTAGGGGTAGTGAGTATTAATTATTTTCTAGCAGCAATAGTAAGTTTGTTATACTCTGTCATTTCATTAAGGTTTCTTTCATTAGCAGTATTGTTTATTATATTAATTTTAACTAGTTTTAATTTGTATGGTTATTATTATTAGTTTCTATTATCATAAAGACTATTTCACATTCTTTTCATAGTTTATGGATCTATGAAGCTGCGAACCAAATATAACTTTTACCATGGTACGGTAGTTCATACTTGGACATCAGCCTAAACAGATGATCATTTTAACACAGTGCAGACACACACACACATTGTTTGTTAGAATATGTAATATTGTTTTTACTTATTCGTTTTTATTATTTTATCATAAAGATTATTTTACACTGTTAGCTTAATTTATGGATTTAGAATGAACCTAAATTACCAAGCTGGCCAGGCGAGCTATAACATTTACCACAGTGTAGACACATGCATTGTTAGTTAGAATATTTAATATTTTTATTATTTCTAACTTAATTTTATGTTTATCGTTATATTATAATGATTATTTTGCATTTTTATCTTAGTACATGGATTTAGAACTAACCTAAGTCTCCTAGGTTGTCCGAACCTTGTTAGATATTATTGGGTTTAGTCCAAAAATTTCATTAACAGCGAGGTAATCAACTGATGAATCAATACATTTTAATCATTATCATTATAAAACATATAGTTTGAACATAATATGTAATCAGCTATGCTCTTTACAAAGTGTATATAGATAGTTTGCTTTGTTCGGATGTTAATATTAACGTGATGTTTTACCTCTACTTCTGTCATACCTGTAGAATGTATAGCTTGTGACATTGACATGCAGCAGGTGTACCATAAATATGTTTTAATTAGATAAATCATTACATACCACAAGTAACACTGTTCTATATTATATCGTAGTAACAGTCCAGGAACAATTCTCACAGATTCAGTGTTGTATTATTTCTAAATCATTGAATCTATGTTATAGACGTTAATGATTGTTACTGACCATCTTAACTTGACCAGCCCAGCAACAAATGACAAGCATTAAAACAACATGGTTCTAGTAATTTTCTCCTGACATTTGTTAGCCCTACATTGATTAAAAGTGGTAGGTAGAAGAGAACCATATACTTCTGTCAGGTTAAGTTACTAGAAAACAGATAAATTTGTTAGTGGAGTTATAGAGGCTATGTCTAGTATTTGGCTGTGTTATTAGATGTTATAGTAATATCACACGGGCATGTTTTATACTGACAGACCTTGTGTTAGTCATTAGATGGTATGTTTGATTTTGTGTGGTTTTATATTTTTAGACAATTTTAATATCTGTCAGCTAGGTAAATTCTAACTTTTTGTCAGTAATTAATATTGAAAACAAAAAAGCTTAACAAGTATCAACTAAAACCATGGTTTGCTCTTTAACTGTTATCAGTTTCAGTTTGAAAGAAACTTATTGTTTGACTTTGTAGCAAGAAAGTGAAAGACAGAAACAGCTGAGAGAGCGTGCTAGAAGACTCATAGCTGAAGCCAGACAGGGACTTAACAAGCCAACCTTGGATAGTTTCCCAAGTTCCTCTTGGTTGTCTGGGAACCACAACAACACAGTTGCTAGCAGCAATACTGACATTGTTATTAACAACAATATCAATACCCAGAATACTCCTGCATGTGTTGTAGAAAATACCACTGCTGCAGGAAAACCTGAATCAAGTATGATTTTGGTTTTCTCTGTTTTGTCATGGAAAAGTCTGATATTGTTATTTCTCTTGGTCTTTATGTTCACATGAAATCCTCAATTATTATCATTAGAGGGTACTGTTGGAATAACTATTACTGCTATAGTTTGATTGCAAAAGTGTTTAATGTTCCTTTAACTAAACAAGCATCCTTTACAGAAGTAACAAAAAAGTGTTTAATGTTCCTTTAACTAAACAAGCATCCTTTACAGAAGTAACAAAAAAGTGTTTAATGTTCCTTTAACTAAACATGTATCCATTACAGAAATAACAGAAAAAAGTGTTTAATGTTCCTCTAACTAAACAAGTATCCTTTACAGAAATGACAAAAAGCATATAATGTTCCTTTAATTAAACAAGTATCCTTTACAGAAATGACAAAAAAAGTATTTAATGTTCCTTTAACTGAAGTATCCTTTACAGAAAAGACAAAAAAAGTATTTAATGTTCCTTTAACTAAACAAGTATTCTTTACAATAATGACAAAAAGCATATAATGTTCCTTTAACTAAACAAGTATCCTTTACAGTAATGACAAAAAGCATATAATGTTCCTTTAATTAAACAAGTATCCTTTACAGAAATGACAAAAAGTGTTTAATGTTCCTTTAATTAAACAAGTATCCTTTACAGAAATGACAAAAAAAGTTTAAGTTTTCCTTTAACTAAACATGTATCCATTACAGAAATAACAGAAAAAAGTGTTTAATGTTCCTCTAACTAAACAAGTATCCTTTACAGAAATGACAAAAAGCATATAATGTTCCTTTAATTAAACAAGTATCCTTTACAGAAATGACAAAAAAGTGTTTAATGTTCCTTTAACTAAACAAGTATCCTTTACAGAAATGACAAAAAAAGTGTTTAATGTTTCTTTAACTAAACAAGTATCCTTTACAAAAATGACAAAAAAAGTGTTTAATGTTTCTCTAATTAAACTAGTATCCTTTACAAAAATGACAAAAAAAGTGTTTAATTTTCCTTTAACTAAACAAGTACCCTTTACAGAAATGACAAAAAAAGTGTTTAATGTTCCTTTAACTAAACAAGTATCCTTTAGAGAAATAACAAAAAAGTGTTTGAGATTGTTTGAAATAAACGATTATTTTGTTATGTTAATAACACATGAAAATTATTTGATGTTGTTTCAACCAAATGATTGTTCCATTATGTAAATAACTCAAGAAAAGTGTTTGATGTTGCCTAGCCTAAACAAGTAGGAATTTTAACTTAAATAATAAAGATACAGGTTCACTTCAGGCAGTAACAGTCAAAGATTCCTCCTAGCTTTCAGATTGGTTCGAGCCACATTTCATACTTCATATTTTTTGTCCTTCTCTTTATTTTATTAAAACATTTTTTTTAACAGTTAAGAACTGCTTACTGAACTTTAAGTTATTATATTACCAAGATATTTCTGTGATTATTATGAAACTAACTATTGTTTTTTTTTTCTCCCACGTTTATTTGTAAAATGCTGGTATAAAGACATATTATATCCAGTACATTGAGCTCATCTTATTCTTCAAACTTACTTTTCCATGTTGTTATTTTAATATAAGCATCTCATTTGTTTATTTTATAGCTCAAATTGTCTTTGAACAGAGTTTGGCATGTTTTATTTATCTTATGTTTCAAATTGACATGAAAATGTGTTTTATTTTTCTTACCTTTTAAATATACATCAACAAATGGTTTGTCCATTTGACTTGGACCTGATGTCCAGTGTCTTTGTTAAAATGGAATTATTGTTATTTACATGTTGACTGTTGTATACTTCACTGCTCGTTAATTACTGACTGTTGAGATTTCAATAAACATTTATTCTGTATGTTACTTAATTGTATAATCAAGTGTCATAAAAGTCTGCAATAGAACATAATTGTTTTGAGTACTTAACATGCTCTTTTAAAGTTATTGTGTGTTTCGTGAATAGATTTGATTGTTGCCAAAGTCTTCACATGCATTCCAATCCTAGGTTATAGAATATGGTTTTGTCTGTATCCTACAATATACATTAAATGTACATAGTAATTTTTGGCCCCCTAATGATTATTTTATTACTAATCTATGCCTGATATGTATATGCACTTACTAACTTGTTTTGCAATTTCAGTATCATTTCATTTTTAAATGCCTTTTTGGTGAGAAACAGAACAATTAGACTGGTGCCTCAATATGATGTAGTTGTTCATGAGACAAGTGTGTTGAGAATGTGTAATTATTAGTAGGACATGTTTTTCCTTTCAGCTGAGTGGTTCAATTATAGGATGTGGTTATATCTCACAATGCATGATTAATATTTTGCACGAGTTTGTTGTGTTTTATTTCACATTTAGATTGCTTAGTTTCTTTTTGTTTTACACCTTTATGCATGCATGTTATTCTAATCCGTTTCTCACGATTAATTTTTTTTGTTAGGGGTTCGTCATTTCAACTTCTACCAAATCAAAAAACAAAATGGTGAGCACTTGTCTGATTTATTGAAGTAAAAATGGCTGAGTATGTTGATGTAATAATTGCTCACTGGTTGAGTACTTAGATATAATAATCATTTATAAATTATATAGATGTAATAATTATTCAGTGGTTGAGTATATAAATGTAATAATCATTCAGTGAATGAGTTTAGATCTGATGATCATTCATTGGCTGAGTATGTAGATGTAATAATCATTCATTGGTTGAGTATAAATGTCATAATCATTCATTGGTTGAGTGTGTATGTATACCACACTAAATAGAAATAGAAAGATGGAAGCAAATAATTACTTGCCTAACACTTTTAATGATCTGGACTGATCAGACATTAAGTATTTAGTCAGAAAAAAATACTTGCATTGTTACCATGTCTTAACAATTTCTTAAAAACCTGAAACCACATATATATATAGTTGTAACAAATAATGCAAAATGTAAATCAACAACTGTATATGGTTGTCATTATTAAAACTTGTTATAATAATAAGGTGTTCATTATTAACTATTAGTATTTTATCTTGTGTGTGTACATAAATATGTACTTACCTTTTGTAACGTACTAAGGTCGATGTGTTACACAATTTGATACAAAATAATCTTTTTATGTTAAAAACATAAACATGTAATTTTAAAATTGTAGGAACAAACATAAAATAAAAATCAGTACTTATTGTTGGCACTCTTATTTTAAATGTTATAATAAGCAATTACAGGATTGAGTGGATTTTCTTTTTCTTTGAAAAATTCCTTAGTTATTTCACAAAATGAATAAACACTTGCAGAGTTTGAAAACAAACAAATGGTTCTGTTGTTGTAGATTATTTGATATTTATATTTCTTTTTATTTATAGTAAATAAATACAATAAAATAATTTGTTCAGGTGAAGGGAAGGTACCATTGAAAAATAATCCAAAAATTGATCTACCCAGACAAGGGAGTCTAGACAAAACCTTGATTACAGGGTTAACTGAAAGCCATGATGAGGTAAGTTACCTCATCATGACTTTCACAATTTGTTAGGTTTAAACACCTAGCTGTTTGTCTTACCTCATCATGACTTTCACAATTTGTTAGGTTTAAACACCTAGCTGTTTGTATTACCTCACCATGACTTTCACCCTTTGTTAGGTTTAAACACCTATCTGTTTGTCTTGACTTATCATGACTTTCACACTTTTGTAGGTTTAAACACCTAGCTGTTTGTTACAAACAGCTAGGTGTTTAAACCTAACAAATTGTGAAAGTCATGACGAGATAATATAAACAGCTAGGTGTTTAAACCTAACAAATTGTGAAAGTCATGATAAGGTAAGACAAACAGCTAGGTGTTTAAACCTAACAAATTGTGAAAGTCATGATGAGGTAAGACAAACAGCTGGTTGTTTAAATCAAAGAGTGAAAGTGGTAATACAAATAGTTAATTGACTTAACCTGCAGAATAATGAAACTCATGGTGAAATATCTGTGTTAACCTAACAATCAGTGAAAATCATATGAAATAAGACAGACTGTTAATTGTCTTAACCTCCTGTTGAATGGAAAATCAGATGACACAAAAGAGAGAAGTGATGTTGAAATTTGCTGATTGTTAAACTAATAACATGGTATCTGTGTACTTAATGATCATAAGTGTATGTACAGAGCTTTGTATGTGTAACTGTGTATGTCGTACAGAAATACTAACAATAATTATTTTGTTTTAGATGAATGGAAATTTCCCACCAGTAAACAAATGGCAGAACCTTAACATTGTAACATCACCACTTAATAAAGTCAAACACAATGAGATCTGTCCAACAGGAATTTCAGTTACAAAACGACTTTCTCCTGATACAGGTAACTTTAATGCTTCTCAGCTTTTAGTTACACACTTAGTACAAGTTTCACAGCTGACACATAACTCCTAGTTGTATGACCATTAGTTAGAGGAGATACAGCTAATACTTAGCTCTTAGTTATACAACTGTTAGTTATAGGTGATACAACTAATACTTAGTTTTTAATTAAACACCTGAAAGAGATGACACAACTAATTATTAGTTCGTAATTAAACCTGATAGAGATGACACACCTAATACTTAGTTTTTAGCACATCTAATACTTAGTTTTTTAATTAAACACCTGATAGAGATGACACAACTAATTATTAGTTCGTAATTAAACCTGATAGAGATGACACAACTAATACTTAGTTATTAATTAATCACCTGATAGAGATGACACTACTAATACTTAGTTTTTAATTAAACACCTAATAATTGTAGCACAGGTTGTTCTTATACTTTAATTACATAATAAGCAACATCTATAAAACTAAATACAAAATTTATAGAAAAGTATTTGATATGTTCATTTTAGCTAAAAGTTTCTAATTTGTATTTATTTTCAGAAAAATTGCAGTTTTCATCTAAGCTTTCTCTGGATTCAAAGGTATATTGAACATTTTCCTGTGGAAATGATAAGGAATAGATAGTAGAACATAACAATTAGTGTTGATAGATTATTCTTGGGTTTGGGCCGAGTGTGTCAGCTTGCCTGGACAGGAATCCGACGGTTCATTCTTCTTGGCCTGCTACTGTAAAATAAGACTGTCGGTCAAGTCCAACTACTTGATTAGAGTATACCAACAACTGATGGTGTATAATATTGACTTGCTGCCCTCCCTCTGGTCTGTCCTTTTAAAATTAGGGATGTCTGTGTTTAAATAATCTTTATGAAGTTTTGTGCAGTTATTCTAAAACAAACAAACAAATTTCTGGGTTGATATATTGGGTTATACATATATATATATATAGAAATACATACATACATACCGAAAGTGAGAATAAGGTAAACTGTTATAGACCGAGTGATTGACTGGACAGATAAGTGGCAGTGAAGCAATAAGTATTGTATATGATTTCACATCCCAAGAAATAAAACTATTAATTACCGAAACATTAATTTCATTTTAAGGTACAAATTAAATATCTTGAAGTGACCAATTCTTTAAATCGATATAATACTTGTTCAAATAACATTCATATAAGTAACTCATTTTATATATTGTACTTGGATTTTATTCAGTATTTGAGTTTTGTATATTGTAACACTTGTTATTATGATACAATACATATAATTGTATATGTAGTTTTTTTAATTGATGCTTTTTTCTTTTTGTTAACTACAGGGACACTTGAGGTATTTTAGATGTATGCACAGGGATTTGGGGGAGAGTTCCCCCAACAGGGGTTTGGTGAGAAGCAAAATTCCATACAGATATCCCCACAATAGCTACATTTATACATATACATACACACACACATGAAGGTTTTTTTAATGTGAGGGTCAACACTAAATTTCAAAAGTTGACATATAATAATTTTGATTTTTCTGAATTTAAGAAAGTATTATTATGAATAGGGTTAACCCTTTAGTGATGGGCTCGTGCAATTTTTGTACAACAATACATGCGGTAGCTCTGAGATTTTTTAAAATATCCTCTCAAAAACTGGTAAGATTTTGTTAAATATCATAAGTATAATTAAGTTTTATAATTAAGTGTTTTTACTAAAATAATGTTATTTTTCTGTTGTGTTACTTGCTTTCAAACTATTAACAAATCGAGTGCAAGGTGATTTTCATTTTAATTATAAGAATACTTTTCTTTGTCTTACAGTTTCATATTTTATTTGCATAATCTCTAGAACCTCCTAAAAAGATATCAAAAGTTTTTTAAGGTAAATGTTTATATTATATTTTTCATTTTCTTTACCATATCACTAACTCTAGCTATTATCATCAACGTACAATGCAATGAAGTGATTAAAATTAGGAAATAAAAAAAACATACCTTTTGATTTTTTGTATAATATCTTTAAAGATATTGTTTTGCCAATATTCATAATTTTGGGTCTTTTTCTTTTCACACGTAGTTAATTTTTAATATTTTATTTTCTGTTCTTGTCCTTTACCACTTATTATTCATCTCAACACAAGTCAACGGTGCCCTTGGAGCATTTTACAGTTTCTTTGGTAGACATGTGCAACCCTTTGGCAAAATTTTTGTTCAGCTCGTAAAATCATAAGACCTGAGAACAGACACAAATTATGATGTATATTTAAAAATGTTTAAACCTTTTAATTATTCATTTTAAAACATAAATAATACATAATTAACTAAAATATAATAGTAAGACCTAAATACAACCTAAACTGTATCTCTAACTGTAACATATTTAGGTAAGAAACAACCATAAGTGCT